TGTTAGGCATCCACCGCTTCCGACGGCCGCGGTTATGCTATTCCCCGCGTTTGACGGCCGCGTTGAAGCCCAAACATGTGTAGATTGGGAGTATTTCATAAAACGTGTGTATTTTATGAAATTTTTTGAAGAACGCGTGTATTTTGAGTAGTAAAACTGTCAAATCAATTATGATAGTAGTTCAGTTCATTTGCTTGGATGGTTAGTGATGCACCAAACTATTTTTCACTATCCAAGATGAAATCAAATGAACCATCCAGTTTGAATGGTCCATTGGTTCACGATTTTAACACCCAAAAATATGGGGAGAAAAATACTTTAAGGTAAACTAAGACCATCCAACATGAATTACAAATTTTATTTTGCTTCCTCTTCTCATGTCCAAACCTTCTTGTCAGCTTTATGTGGTACACTACCGATTTATTATGATTTCTTTTGGTGATGCATGATATGAATATGGAATTGTTTATGGTTAATGACAAAGTCATTCTTAAATATTTAAATTAGTGTATTATACAAGTCTTCTATGTTATTGATCATGAACATTGAACAGTTCTATCAATAGTTGACCAACAATTTTCTAACGGTTAACCACTGAAGCCTAAACCACTAACTGTTCTGGTTTAGCATCTGGTCCGATTCTCAGAACAGAGGTTTTATGAGATCAATTTAGGGGCGAGTAAGGATCTAAAGACCAAATCGGAGCTTGGACCAGAATATGTCGAACATAATATAATGTGGTCCGATCTTTGGTAACATTAATTTTATAAATACTGAAGAAGAATTGACTAAATTTACATTTGGATAAGATCATATCAAACCAAATATACGGTTGGTCCGATCCAAATATAATTGGTTACTCTATTATCGGTTATAATCGATAACCGAATAGTTTAATACATTTAGTAGTTAACCGATAATCAATAATTTTGTTAGTGGTTAATCAATAAATGGATTTTTTTTGTGCAAATTGATATGCACATTGAACCATGGAAGTGGGTTGAGATAATAAATATAAAGAACAATTTTGGTATTTGGGATGAAGTTAATGGAAATAATAACAAAGGACTCATTTGTTATCTAATCATCAAGGTTGTCAACCCGCGGGTTGATCCGGACCCGGTCGAGCTAGTGGGTCAAGGGTTAATGGGTCAATCATTTTAGCCCCGTTTGGCCCGGAAATATAGAAAGAGTCATTATATTGTACTTATTCTCATAAATTATATCAAATCTTATCTAACATATGAGTTATAACATATAATATTACACCAAAATAACATATTGTACTTAGATCCAACATATAGTGAAAATTCACTCACACTTATATAACATAAATATTCAAATGTTCAACTTAGTATTCCAAAGATTGAGTTAGGCGAAAAGAAAAATTAGAAAATAGGCGCATTTCGAAAACTAAAGAAAAAATGACACAATTTGACCTCCAACCCGGTACCTTATAGCGGTCGGCCCGGCGGGTGCGTGCTGCCCATTTTTCTCACCGGATCAGGATCAAATTAGGTCGACCCGTGGGTCAACCCTCGGGTTGACAACCTTGCTAATCATAGTACATGGTTTCCTCCCGACAAAAACATAAATGTAGGGGCTTATTTGTTATCTTTTCATAGTATGGGGTTTATATGGCTATTAATCCTATTAAAAATAACAAAAGAAAAATGTCTCATGCGGAGTCGTTATTGGTTAGTGGTTAACTGACAAAGTAACTGTTAATCAAACTCATAATTGACGATTAACCGATTAGAGTTATCAGTGCAGTTATCAACAATGATTTTTTTTGTGCTTATTTGTTAACCACTAAACGACATATTGGTTACTGGTGAACCAAAATCGCACTTATTAGCACCCCTAGTGTCGCAATATGAACGAAAAGAGTAAACCCCCCCCCCCCTCCTCCCACCAACACACACCAAAAGTATGATGGAGGTATGGCTAAAATGAATAGAGTCAGAGTTGAGTTTTGACCTAGCTTGGACTCAGCTTGTTAATAAATGAGTTGAGCTCGAACTCAACTTGTTTACTAAAAGTTTGTCTTGTGTTCGAATCGAGTTCGACTCATTAATTAGCTTGTGTGGTCGGCTCGAGATAAGGTATCATATCATTTAGTTCAATAATCTTGTATTGTTCATATTATGTTGTTTGATAGTAATTAGTATTTGAGCAATCTATAATACATAATTTCTCTTTTAAAATTATAAACTAGACATATTTGATCACGTGCTCAAATTCTTAAACATTATATGTGTTGACCTATATAATCTAACAAACATATGAATTATCAACAAGTCAATGATAAGCTATTGACCAATTCACTCACAAGTTGCTAGTTGGGGTGACTCTCTATCCATACTATCGAGCCAGCTCACGAGTTGAGCTCAACAAGCCACCGAGTCGAGCGTGCTCATGAGCCTTGTGATGTCTTTGACGACAAATGCTAATTGTGGGTTCGGGTCGTGTGCGCGCAAAGTTGTCAACCCGCGGGTCGACCCACTTTGACCCTGATCCGATGAGAAAAACGGGCCGCACGCACCCGCCGGACCGACCGCTACAAGGTACCGGGTTGGAGGTCAAATTGTGTCATTTTTTCATTTGTTTGCGAAATGCGCCTATTTTTCGATTTTTCTTTTCGCCTAGCTCAAATTTTGGAATGATAAGTTGTACATTTGAATATTTATGTTATATAAGTGTGTGTGAATTTTCACTATATGTTGGATCTATATACGATATGTTATTTTGGTGTAATATTATATGTTATAACTCATATGTTAGATAAGATTTGATATAATTTATGAGGATGAGTACAATATAATGACTTTTTCCATATTTTCGGGCCAAACCGGGCTAAAACGGTTGACCCATTAACCCTTGACCCACTAGCTCGACCGGGTACGGGTCAACCCGCGGGTTGACAACCTTGTGTGCGCGTGAATTAGTTTAGGGATTATATATTTTTTTTTACTAATTTATTTGAGACATAATAAAATAATAAGGGTTAATTGCATGGTTGGTCACTGAGATTACAAAAAACGATCAAGTTTGGTCATTGGAAATAATTAAATCCATTGGTGGTACTTCAGTTTACTGAAACCATTCACGTTTGGTCACTCTCCGTCCAACTCCGTTAACTTTTGCTTACGTGGCGGTCAATTCTAAAAGTTGATCGTTAAATGTGTGATGTGACAATTTAAAAATAATAAAATTAAATTTTTTAAAAATATCATCTCATTTCCACCTCATTATCACTTTTATTTAAAATAAATAAAAACCATAATTTCTTCTAAATGCCCAATACCAATACTCCGCCTGGCAGCATATACCCCCGCCAGCGCCCACGTCCTCGAGTTCCTCCACTACCTCGACCAGTTCGGCAAGACCAAAGTCCCTTCTACGGCCACCCAACACCGCCGACGCCTTGGCCTTGCCCTCTCCGCCAGGCCTGGGGCTCCCTCGACGCCCTCATCGGCCGCCTCCGAAAGAAATATGATCAGGGTCAGGGCATACGAAAGAAAATGAGGGAAGAGGCGTTCTTGTGAAAAGCAGGATGACTAGGTTAGGTAGCCTATCTTGGTTCTCAGAGTTTGTCCAGAATGATAACACATTAGCAAACACTTAAATTACATAGTGAAACTCCAATAGACACCATCTATGGGTCTATCTATCGGTAAGTGTAGTGAATCGGGTGGGTGCGGTGGCGGAGGTCCCGGAGCTGAGATTCCAACTCTAGCCTGGCTTGGCCAAATCAGTAGTTCAAGTCAGACACTGGCAAATGTCAATCTCAGGGAGGTCCGCGATCACCAGTCCAAAGCCAGGGGAATCAGCTAAGAGAAGAAGAAGCGCAAGTGTCCCCTGCAGCCCCAACCTCCTCCGCCGCCGCCGCCGCACCACCACCACGAGTAGGGGTGGGCAACGGGACGGGACGGGATACCCGTCCCGTTTTAAACGGGTACCAAGTCCCGTTTGGAGACCAAAGTCCATCCCATATCCCAAACTCGTATGGGAAACGGGTACCCATTTCCCGTACGGGACGGATAACGGGTACCCATACTACCCATAAATACCCAAAGTTTAAACCACTAAAATTTCAAAAGTTTAAACTTAACTTGTATTTGTTTAACAATCACAAGACGCAAAATACATCCCAATCACAAATACTCGGTTTGCAAATAACCCATTCATGAACAATCACAACACATAGAAATAAATCATTCCAAACACCAAATTATCAAATAAGAAGTTTCATTCAACACAACCAAATGGGAGGCATGCTGCTACTTTTCTTGTGTTGCTGAATGCAGAAAGTGTCCAAATTTTTAGGTTCATGGGAAGCTAAATCTATAGCAAAGAAGATGAGTCTCACTGAAAGGGTAAGGGCCCTGGGCCCAAATGGCAAATGGAATTGAAATTGCAAGGGTGAGGGCCGGAATGGCCAATGGGTTCTGAATTGAGTTGGGCTGCCTTTGTATTGAATGGGTATAACGGGTACCCATATTACCCAAACGGGTATTCGCAGGTAACCCGCGGGTACCCATATTAGGAATGTACAATCCCAAGTCCCATCCGTTTATAATATTACGGGTAATATGGGTACCCATAACCCTTAAAAAACGGGACGGGTACGGGTATACCCAAATACCCGTTTCCCGTTGCCCACCCCTAACCACGAGAACCTTATTCATTAGATGTCAATTTTAAAAATTTAATTTTATTATTTTTAAATTGCCACGTCACACATTGAACGGTCAATTTTTAGAGTTGACCGCCACGTAAGCAAAAGTTAACGAAGTTGGACGGAGAGTGACCAAACGCGAACGATTTCAGTAAACTGAATTACCACCAATGGATTCAAATATTTCCAGTGACCAAACTTGAACGTTTTTTGTAATCTCAGTGACCAACCATGCAATTAACCCAAAATAATAAAAACCAAAATTATGAGTGGTTAGGAGTGAATGAGGGGCAATCGAGTCATTTCACAACCCTTTCAATGGTCACTTAACAGATAATTAGATGAAAGGGTCGTTACATTTTAATATTATAAGGGTATATTTGTATAAAATTTAATAAAAGGATACGTTTGTCAATTTACATAGTACAGGAGTACAAAATGTTATTAACCTTTTGACAAAAACCATTCTTAACTACGTACGTCCCACCGCACTAGTTGAAGGTGATCAAGTTAAGGGAAGCAGACTTATTCTTCTTTTCGTACACAGTCGTGAACTGATAAGGAACAACACTCAATGGTGTTTTAGCTTCAAGCTCAAGTATCATAGTGAAGACTCTTTTCATAGAGGCTAAGGTCATTATCTCTACCTAGTTTTAGATTATACAGAGAGCAGCCAGTACTTAACACTCGTAAGAGAACTCTTCTGGCATATTGTGCAGGGCTTTGATAATGTTGCTAGCAACATCTAGCAGCTGCAAGTACTCATCAGCTCCATCTACTAGACACTGCAGAAAACACATTATAGAGGGCACAGTATGTGAGATACCATTTTCAAGATACTGAAACAGATTCACAGCTAAAAGAACTTCCCAGGGGGGAATCAACATGAGTTTCAGGAAATCCAGCAAGTACAAGTAATTTGAGCTGTTCTAGAATAGCATTGGCAGCAATAGAATAGTGAGTCCCCCCACAATTCCTCTTTCTTATAATGCAACAAAGAGCAGAAAATTAACCTTATTTACTGAGCCCATGTTTTTGCATATGCGAGCCTTCTGTTCATCTGATATATCATCAGCTTCGACCACCACGTCAAATAACTAAGGCCAAGATATATTCATCAGTAATTTAGTATTATATCTAATAAGTATAAAGGACACGTGCCTCGAGATATAAAACAGAAGATTTACCTGGGAAACCATCTGAGAGACTGGGTACCCATCAGATATTACATTACTGACTTCTTTATTTGCCTTATCAAAGTTGCCACTTTTACAAGCTGCGAGAAATGACTCAACAGCACTCTGGGGAACAACCTGATCAAGAGAAACAGAAAGGAAAGGATGCAGCAAAACCACTTAAAACACAACAGGAAACAAAAACAAGCAACAATACTAAACGGGCCCTTAGTATCTTATTATGTAATCTGCCCTGCGTTCTCACTGTTGACATTAACAAACATAACAAAAACACAACATCAAAGTGCACCAAATAGTCAAATTGGTGTAGATGCAAAAACACCGTCCAATGTATATAAATAAAGGATAAAGATTTTATCTTCTAAAAGAAATGGGGTGTGATATAAATTGACTTGAACCACTTGATTTGCTAAGCCAAGGCAATCATACATATTACTCATAAGGGGAAAAAGACCATGACAACAGCATTAATTAAAATCTACTGGTACATCATCAATTACAATCCTACTGGTATATCATCAAAAAGAAAAAAGAACGGAGCCCCAGGTTGCAGTTTTAAAAGAAATACCCCAGAAACAGGCCCAAATCTTGAAATTGTAACCAAAGCAGTGCATAAGTTTCTTGAACAGCTTGGCCAAGTTGAGGTTTTAGAGAATTAGTAATGCCGAACACATCTAATCCCAGACACCTCTGCCAGAATAACTTCTATATTGATAAGTTGCCCAAGAAATTCATTCTATGACTTACCCCAGAAACGTTAATTAGGTCATCAGATGAAATCGATGACCCATACAAGCGAGCTGCTCCCTGTCATACATCATGGGGAAAGATTGCACTATATTAGTTGACCTGGTCACTCAGTACTTAAGGTTTGAATTTGAAGAGTGTACAGAGTACAACACTAACATGGTGGAAATATGAATCTGAATAGAGCAACATGACAACAAAGACAGGCATGATCAAGCAAATGTAAACTAGAAGAACACTGAATATCAACTCTAGAAGCCTATGATGTACTAAAGTTGACCAATTGACGTACTCTCCAGGCCATGTAACTGGAAAACTGAACATCACTATACATGACCAGAACTCTCTGTGTTTAAACTGGTCTATAGGGAACAATCCCCATCCAAGTAATTTCTATCTGCAGCTCCTTGAATTTCTCATGCACAACAGATCCTCGTGACTGCAAGAATAAGTTCACCACATAAACACCACTGGGTCAAGGTTAAAGGACCTAGTTCTGATGCATAATCCACGCAGAATGACCGGCCTGAGATCCTCTACATTATAGCCTAGGAGAGGCACAAAAATAACTCCATATTTCATTTAGTATCCTGCAGTAAAGTATCAGTATTCTATATCAGTTACTATCTGGGTATGTTAGTGAAGAAAAGGGCATCCACTAACTAGGTTTGTCTAAGTTTCCCTATGATTGATAAGCTCTCGGGTTTACGAAGCACTAACGTGGTTCAGAATATGATAATGGACGATAATCAACCAATCATAATAGCTTCGCAGAAAATAAGAAAATCTCTTACTTGCAAGTATGTGATTGCCCGGCGAAGATCTCCTTGTGATATGGAGCCCAAGGTTGAAACAGCCTATACATGGTGCAATTAACATATGCTTACTTTCCACATATTCGCCAAAACTGGTAACAATTTGACAACGCCGGCGTGAAGTCATTATTACCTTTTCATCAAGGTAGATACCTTCCTCCTTACAGATATGCAGTATACGACCACTCATGATTTCTTCTGAAAGTGGCTTGAACCTAAACTTTGCACACCTCGAAGCAAGGGGCTCGATAATCCTACACATATTGAAACCAACTGTCATAAAATCCAACATCGAGTTTACTTATCAGGTCAGTATCACATGCAAACAGCACAGCTTGTGCACATGCAGCTCAGAATGTTAAGAGTGGACAAAACTCTAAACCAACAGGAACTCTGGAGTCTCTTTCTTGGCCAGATGCATGTTCTATAAAATACAATATTCAATTTGTTGTCTATTGAATTGTAGAAAACCTCAAATCTATCAGATCAGAGAAGACGGTACCATGGTTCAGATTAGAAAATTTAATCTAGAAAACACGAATGATGACACAACCAGATCATTGGATGAAGAAGAGAGTATGGGTAATATAGTCATATTCCTCTCTACTCCCTCCTATGTAGATGTTATATTAGTTGAACTATAAGCAGGTATGAAAGCTGCCGCCCTTGAACTCAGGTCTACACTGAGTGACTAATTAAGCCAAGTATGAAAACTGTACCTGCTTATGTAATTGCATATGAAGAAGAATCTTGTAACTTTAGAATACGTCTCCATTGTACGCCTCAAGGCATTCTGTCAAAAATATGCTAAAGTTCAGGACATTGATCTTCGGTGATAAGAAACAAGACAAATCAAAAGCGAACAAAATGGAACATGCCTGAGCGTCTTCAGTCATCGAATCTGCCTCATCTAGGATAATGATCTTGAAAGGTGGACAAGGATAATTCCTGCAATGACATAGGAATTAAGAAAGAAAAAGAAATAAAACACTATGGTCTGTCAAGGTAAAAACAAATACAAAAAAGCAATGCATACCCATGATGTGGTCTAGTATCCACAGCTACAGCGGCAAAATCCTTGATCTTAGTCCGGACAACATTTATTCCACGGTCATCACTTGCATTGAGCTCCAAAACACGTGACTTGTAGTGCTCAGGCCTTAGAACAAAGCCATTTATTCAGAGACCATTCACTTAGATAACAATGATACGACAACCTAAATAGATTAACAACAGTACCAAGTTGCCCATCCTTGATGAATACTAGGTTCAAAACATCTAAAGACAGTAGAAAGCAATGTAACAGTTTATTAAGGTTTAAAAAGTTTCAAACTCAACCACCAGAAACACTTGATCAGTGATGTCACCACTCTAGCAGCAGTAAATACTATCTCATTTCATCATCACTCTTTCCACCTAGCAAAAACCCATATATTGATACACTATTCCTAATTCCTCCATGCATGCAGAACAATTCAGCATCAAATTCACTTCCTTTACTTGCTTGCAGAGAACAAAAATAAGGATGAGGAACAACCCTTATCCAAACAACAGCACACTAAGTATAACTTAGGAAGTACCCAAAGAGCTGGTGAGCAATGGCCAATGCAGTTGTGGTTTTTCCGGTTCCAGGAGGTCCATAAAAGAGCATGTGTGGGCACTACAGAGAAACACCAAAAACATTAACTCCATGACCAGCGGAATTGCAGCAAACTTATCAGTAGAACCAATCACTAAGTAGTGAAGTTTATAATTAGGTTTCCAAAGAACCCAAAAATGATCAAACAGATCATATTGAAGAACAAAAAGAAAACTCACACTTGAAGTCTCGAGGGTGTTCGTGAGAACCCGCACCACTTCATCCTGGTAGGCTACGTCTTTCACTTGCTTTGGCCGACTAAACCCAAAATGCCAAACCACACAAAATCAATAAGTAACGAGGACAAATGTTTCAGAAATCAGGCACAAAATGAACTCCAAAAAAGAAGATAAAGGAAGATTACTATTTTTCAACCCAGGGTTGTGAGCTCTGCAAAACTGGTGCCATCGTTTTCCTTCGCTTCTCCCGCTGCCGAGCTCTGCTTGGTTGGTTCTTCTGCGTGCAAAGAGTTGCAGGTTGCAGGACGAGACTGAACTGATGTCTTGTTTTCAGCCTTTTCCCGCTATATCACTCTGGGCCTAAGATGGGCTAATAAGCGTATAATGGGCCGAACTGCAAACGGAAATGGAAAAGTAACGTCGTAGCTTGTGAGAGGTAGAGGTACTTTGGTAAAAAAAAAATCTACAGTACACGTTTTTTAAAAGAAAATTCAAAGTACACACATTATAAAAAAATTCTCAAAATACACATGTTTGGGAATTACTGCGGTCGTCAACTGCAGTTGACGACCGGGTTGAATGCCTAACGTAATACTGAAACTTCAAACAAACGTAATTTTGCGTTCGGTTATCCGATTGTAGCGAATTGTTTTTTCATTCCACATAACTTTTCAAAATCTTTCAATCTGCAACAGCTTTCATCCCAAAGAAAATTCGTTTGCTACCCCGAACGAGCAATTTTTTGATTTTGACAAACTTTGGAAGACCATAACTTTGTGCTCCGCAATCCAAATGTCATGAAACTTTTTTTGATTTCGAATAACTTTTGATGGACTACAACTTTTATTATAACAATAATTTTGGAATGGATGTGGATTTGTGAAAAGCAAAGTCAAAGTTATTCCCAAAATCTCGTATACCCAAAAATATTTCTTTTGAAAAAAAGTTTCTTAGTAAAAGTTGTATTTCTTAAAAAGTTATGCGCAATAGAAAAAAACTTTACGATATTCGGATTGAGGAGCTAAAAGTTATGACCTTCCAAAGTTTGACAAAATCAAAAAATTGCTCGTTCGGGGTAACAAACGACATTTTTTTGAGATGAAGGCTTGTTGCAGATTGAGAGATCTTGAAAAATTATGCGGAATAAAAAAAAAACATTCGCTACAATCAGATAACCGGGCGCAAAATTACGTTCATTTGAAGTTTCGGTGTTAGGTTAGGCATTCACCGCGGCCGTCAACCGTAGTGATGCCCAAACATGTGTATTTTGGGGATTTTTTTATAACGTGTGTATTTTGAGATTTTTTTTAAAAACATGTTTATTTTGGGATTTCATCAGTACTTTGGTTCCCAAATAAACCATCCACATTAAGTTTTTTTTCCTAGTGAAACCTGTGAATCTTTATTAATAAGTATTGGCCATTACATTATCAAGTTGTAAATGATTAATAAAAAACATGAGAGGCCTATCCAGCCATATAATAGATTAATTAAATCTGGTTTTCGAGAGTGCCATCAAATGAGCTGTTTCATTCGCTGTCTTTCGCACATGGTTCCAATAGCCATTTCCAATTTCTTATAAGAGACATCGGATGTTCTGGCAGATAACCCCAATCTCACTATGAGTTCCGTTCGCTTCCAGTATCTTCGGGATGAGTGATAGACAATGAGATTCTAGCCTGGGATTGGTCCCGTTGAAGTGTTTCGCCAACTCCAAGCCGAACTCTGCCACCAAAGCCTCCCTCATCTCCACTTCATGTTTTTCGGCTACCCTATTCGTAGCTACCAGCAGACACTTCCGTCTTCCCGTCCTGGCCTCGAATTACCACTCCCAGATTTACCCCATCCGCAAAGCTGGCATTCGTATTAATCGTAAACTCCTCTGGACCTGGCTTCCTCCATGTCCTCGCTTCCTGAGACTGTGGTTCCATCTGTATTTTCTGCTAATGATGTTTATAATCCTCTTGGTAGTATTGGGCACTTAATACAATCTCATTCTCCTCCAACTTCTTACCATTGAAAAGCTTAGCATTCCTCTCTTTCCCAAAAAATCACATTAGGACACTCCATCTTTCCAGTTTGGCCTCGTCCCCCTTACCCATAGCTTTCTTTAGTCATTGAAAGCAATCCTGGGCAGGCTGGAAATTGAAACAATTTGCCAACTTTGAACTCCACATGCGACATGTCCACGGGCATTCACCAAAAAGATGAAGTTGTGTCTCGTGTTGATCGCAAAATGGGCATTTATCTCTTCTTTCACCACAATAACACAATCCAATAAACACAAACCATACTGAATAATCCACAAGTAAGTCTTGATTTAAGGAAGAAATTCCACGATAGGGAGTTCCCTGACTTATTCTAGCTCCTACCTTGTGTAGTGAGGTATGAATCTCTTCTTCAAGAAGAGGAGAATAGAAGGAGTGCCTCAAGGGTGTAAGCCAAGAGGTCAATGAGGTGGATGTAGAATTGGTTGAATTATGTTCAAGGTAAGCCATATTTATGTGCTTATTTGGCTAAGGTGGAGAATGAACCACCAAGGAATTGACCAAACCGAGTCCCCATTCAGTTACGAAAGCGTTCCTTTGAAATTTCCAAAATTGAGTTGATTTTTGTCCAAATTATAAAGTTGGCCAAGTCAAGTTTACAAAGGGCATAATACCCCACCCCTTGAGATGTTAAAAGATAAGTGGTATAATAACATGTCACATTTTACTAATCATTGTGTGATTTTTTGCAATGTCTTGTAGGATGCCATTGAGAATGGACACATCAGGTTCCCATAGCAATGGAATGATATCATGTTTGTTGTTGTCTTCACTATGGGAATATGAGTTTGATCCGTAGAGGGCATTGGATAAACAGTGGGGGCGGTGGTGGAGAAGAAAGACGATGTGTTTTGGGAATTGGTTGGGTGGGGCAGGCTAGGGACAAGGCTGGAAGAAAAAAAATGAAACATATTAGAGTTCAGATTACAGGATGGTGTCGTATTTCCAAACTCCGAGTTAGTGGGGTTTTGGCCCAATTCCCCCACACCTTTTACCCAGTCAAACATGGGAATTTGACCAAACACTGCATTTTATAGTTTTGGGGTCAATTCCCTCATCCAATTTCCACATCCAAACAGCCCCAAATAATTTTTAGGTATAGAAGAGTGGTATTGGATGTTGAACACCTTAGTCCATGATTTTTATGCACTAAGTTGTTGGGGTATTTGTTTACACAAATGTTAACCATGCACAACACCAATTAAATATAAGAGATGAAATAACTTGATAAAACCAACATAATTAAAAAAATTAAATCAATCATGTTGGACCATACGGATTTGACTTTTGGGCACATAAAAACCATGCCATCACACATGCGCCACCTTAGCTCATCCATTTCAAAATTTATCTAAGTCTAGAGTACCCTCCTAGTGTGATTAGGAGAGGTAATCAACATACCCCTAGTGCATTAAGGTTAGGATTTTTTTTACTAACTTTGGAGTATCTACCTTGGTGTGACAAGGTGGAGGATGAATGGTGATGAAGTACCCATCCTATTGTGATGAGAGGGGACAGTGTTTGAGTATAGTGTGTAATGAGGCCAGAGTGTGTGATCAGTATGCCCCTAGTGTATGGAGTATGGAAAATTTTGGCTAAGTTTCGAGATGTGTGGTTTGACGATGGATATCCTCATGGTGTGATAACAAGGCGATGATGGAGTATAGTGACATACCCTGGTGTGATGAGACTAAATTTGTTTAAGTCTAGAGTTCCCCTCATAATTTGGTGTGTGTTGGGGGGGGGGGGATCATTAGTAAACTATACCCCCTTAGTTTAATAATGTGAGGTAAACCTTGGAGCTCATTAGAAAACCCTTTGATGTAATAAAGTGATCTAAAATTTGACTAAGTATGGAGTATCCCTAATGTGATGAGAGGGTATGGTGATGGAGTACGGCGTGGATGGCATGTGACAAGCCATGGTTAGCCATTTTTTCTTAGTCTCCAAACGAAGCTAAAGAGAAGCTACCAAATGGAGGCGGTCAAGACTGAAGAGGTATGAGTGAGTCACCGACATCGATGATCAATACCGCTCTCAAGTTAAATTGGGGGACGGGAAGAAGCTAAAAGTGGAAGGAAAAGGCATAGTTGTTGTATGCACATAAGAAGGTAACAAAACTCTCATCCGAGATGTTTTGTATGTTCCGGAGCTAACTCTCAATCTACTTAGCGTGGGAAAACTGATGCTAAAAAATTACAAGCTATTGTTTGACAATGGCGTGTAAGAGATTATCAACAAAGTTGACAATTTAATGGTGTCCACCCGCAATCGATCCATCCATTATCATGTGGGTGGTTCCTATGGGTGGGAGTGGGTTGTAAAATAGGTGACCCACAAATGATTGGGTGGGTGCGGGTGGGCTGTGGTTGATCCACCACCCACCCAACTTCTTTACCAGTTGTGAGCATAATGCCTCATTCGCCTAGGTGTTGTGAGCCTAAATAACTTTTTAACCTATAATCGTAATTCGTAAATTACAGTTCCAAACTAAGGAAGGAATGAAAGAAAAATCGGTGGTAAATTGAGATGGTGTCATTTTGGGGAAGACAACTATCTTTTATCTGCCATTTGTTTACTAGTTTTGCTTAAGCGTACCTCCAATTTCCTAAGCCACCTCACAACACAATCCTTTGATCGAAATTGGGAGGAATTTCTTTGATTTTAAGGGTTTGATTTTTGGTAACGCTTATGCCTAGTGTCTTCATGAACCTTGATTACTATATATCAAGCTTAGACCATGTTTATCAGTTGAAAATTTTGTAGTTTGTGGACAATTACCAATACCAATATTGTAAAATAAGCGATTCATTTGATTTATGGATCAAACGTTATTTAGTTTGAAACTTTCTTTCATTTTAAACTTAAAGCTATTGAAATTATGTGATCTTATGGAATTATTTTGTACACCCCTCGAATCCACCCAACCACCCAACCCAACCCACCCACATGTAATGCTTGGATGGGCGTGAGTCATTTTCTCCTTCACCCACCATCCACATAAAATCACCTACGGCTTACCCCTATGAAGAGGTGACACACCCAATGTATGACATTAATAGAGCAATTCAAAAGAGCAAGTGACACTCCACGTTAGCAGAGCGGTTGTTAAATACAATTACATCTTATGGCTATAAATAGGACTTGAACATGATAGAGCAAGGTTCACTAAATTCACACTAGACAACCCAACGTCAAATTTTATCCTTTTATCTTTTCTTTGCAAATTTAGCTATAGTTGTAGTTTTGGAGCTCTTAATAAAATCTATAGGAGCAGACTTAATTTACTGTAGATTTCTCTCGTGAGTTGTACAAAAAATACCGAACAAGTTTCTCACTACTCTCCACCGTCAAATTCAACTTAAAATAATAAATAATAATTAGAGGAGTTAGCATGATGCTAATCCCTACAAAGTTAACACTCTAACTCCTCCTGCTCGATACAACTCATATAGTAAATATGTACAACAATATAAGCCGTGAAATTGTACTATCTCGATACAACGTATATAATTTTAAGGCAAAATACACTTGTATAGCCAACACTTTGCCGGTTTGGCCAAATATAGCCACTTTTGGCGAAATACCAAAAATAGCCACTTCTGTCCAATTCTTAGACGGTGTGAAATAACGTGCTGACTAGACTAATAGAAAAGCTGATATGTCAACCCTTTAGTCCATTAAAAAATATGAGGTGGAATTAACTGAAAAAATAAAAAAAAATTATTTTTCTTTATTTTCTCTCTCCCCTCTCACTTCTTTCCCCTTCCCTTCCCCCCAACAGCCGCTCATCTTCATCGCGTTCTCCCTCTCTCTCCACCGAAAATCTCCCTCGCCGCCACTACCCTCCACGCCGACGTATCTTTCTTTGCTAGGCTTTAACCAGGGCGAGGCTTTGACTAGGGAAGCAAAGAAAGCACTGGGGCGAAATGAATTTAAGGTCGACACTTTGGAATCAAATTTTCACTCGCCAAAGATCGATTTTTGTTTTGATTTTGAAACCTTCTCTTTCGACCAATACCCCTCCTACAGGATGTAGCTTTGATTCTTACTCGACGCCGTCGTTCGCGTTTCTTCCATCATCGACTGGGTTTGGGAGTTGCCGAAGCCGGAAAGAGTTTCAGAGAAAGGGGGATTTGGACGGTGATTTGGGGGCGGTGGATATTCAAGGTAGCGGCGGATTTGGGAGCTGTAATTTGGGCGGCAGCTTATTTGGGTGCGGCTGTAATTTTCCTCCGCCGCTTGGCATCGCCGTCGTTTGTAGCACTACGCCAGATCGAGATCCACAAAAGAAATCGAGCTCCCGCATCTTTCCTGCCTTCCGACTTCCTGTCCTTAACAACTTGTGTTGTCGTCGTTCAGTAGCGTTGCTTTGCAGTGGAGACTGGCGACAAAAGGAAGGAATGAAGGAAGAAGACGAAGATGAAGGGGATGGTGGAAGGTATGGGGGAAAGGACGACATGTGGTGGGAGAGGAGAGACCTTTTTCCAATATAATTTATAATTATTTATTTATTTTTAAATTAAAATATGACATGGGTATCTATGTGGCAAGTGTTGTTGAGTTGTCGATGATGTGTCGGTGAGTTGGCAACCAAGTAAGCATTACGTTAATTTGATTAACTATGTCACTAACGCCGTTAAAATATGTAACGAAAATGGCTATATTTGTCATAAAACTTTCAAATTTTTGGTTATATTTGGTATTTCGTTGAAAGTGGCTATTATTGTCACAAACGTGAAAGTTTTGGCTACACAACTGAATTTTGCCTAATTTTAATTAAATCATCAATGTTTGTGAAACTGTACCGTAGCGATTATTCGACCGAAGAGACCTTTTACTGATTGAACTACGGTTAAACCACGATTTCAGTACAAAATACCCTACCGTTGAGTTTTTCCATACAACCTGCTATACAATTTTAAAATCCTTCTTTTATTCCCAAATCGCTCAAACAACATAGGATTTGAAATTCTCACTATAGGGCTCGTTTGCTTCGTTGATTTGAAAAATGACGGTTTTGGTATAACTTGGATTTTGAAAAACCATGGATATATGAGGGTTTTGGGTTCATTATGGATTTGAAAAGGATCATTGTTTGCTTCATGGATTTAATGATAGATTTTGTTAATTAAATTTGTACGTAACAAGTGAAATCTACCTTTATTGCCCTCAATAATATAAGAAGAGAAAGAAAGTATGATGGGTAGGTTGGTAAAAAAGGATGAACTTCAAAGTATATGATCAATTCCCAAGTAAAGAGGTGAAATTTTCAAATCCGTGAAACCAATGAATTTAGACCCTCAAAGTCCATAAGTCTCACGAATTTGTTACCTCTGTACTTGAAGCCAACAATGTCATGTCATCAATTCCATCACCAAATTCTTCACCAAATAGACGTATGATATTATAGGAAGAACGATAAATTTTTATAACATTAGTATTATTATCTTCTGGTAAAAGATTCTGTTTATAGAACTTGAGGCGCGACCATTACAGAAAGTGCGGATTTGATTCATGAAAAATAGCGACAAACTTTGTTTGAAATTGAAGCTTTGTAGTAACATAAAATTTTATAATCGTGTCGTGTGCATGCTGGCTGCTCCTTGTTACTACCAACGCTAGAAGACAGGTTCAGTGACCGTTTAAATTCAAATTCAAAACACCCCCAACCCTCCTCCCTCACAGCTGGCTACCCTCACTGCTCGTCACCCTTCCCCACCCATAAAAAGGAAAGGCGCGGGACTTCTCATACACGTGGCCGATCATCATTCGTCCGTCACGTACGGAGCCGAGAAAGGAGAGGTAAACAAAGAGCCCACGGCCGGAACATACGGGTATTCGTAGGGCCCACACAGTCCTCGTCGGACGCTCCTACGGCCCCAACGAATAGTCCGGCTCGAATTCAAATCGACCCGGCAAAAAAAGAAAAGGCGAAATACGGCATTTAATTAATTGGTTAATGAAAATCATAAATACCACAAAAAAGCTTTACTTCCCCTCTTTTTCACGTCAAAGAAGAAACGACCGACTCGACTGAGAAAAACAGATACCCAAATCCACGCTTTCACTTCCCTTCCCTTTCCTCTTCTTTTTTGGGCCTGAATTGGGGGGAGCGCGGACGGAGAAATTGGGGTGGGAATTTCTTGATTGCAGAAAGATAGATGTCGCAACCACGCCGGTCGTCGTTTTCTGCATCCACAACGTCGTCTTTGGCGAAGCGGCATGCTTCGTCGGAGAATGCAGGGAAGACGGCGGTGTTTGCCGCCTCCGCTGCTCCTGCTTCGCACTTGGCCAGGAAACGGGCGCCTCTCGGTGATATCACTAACAATTCGAGAAATGCTGCGCAGAAAGGCTCGAGAACCGCTCTCCCGTCGTCGACTCTGGTTGGTTTCTTGAGTTCTTTTCCTCTTTTTCTTGTTGTTTGCTCTTGTGGGTATTTTCTTTCCTGGAGTTCGTTCTGTTCCTTTCTTGTTTGTGTTCGTGAGAAAAGCAGGAGGCTCATATGGGTTTCTAAGAATTTCAGAGAGCTGCATGTGTTCCGTTTCTTTCAACTTTTCTTCTGTAAATGGTTAAACTACTGATTTGAGCAAATGGGGCTTCAATTTCGGAAGTTAACAGTTTAGGGTAATTCGATTTCTTGGAGGAAACGCAATGGGGGAATGGGTTTAACTGAAATACTAGTATCGATGAGTGGGATGCTTCGTTATTTGTAATCTCGAAAGGTTGCTCTGTTTCTGGGTCAGGGTTTTCTAATGAGATTGATTTCAGGGTCAGAGCGCTGCTAAAATTGCCAAATTCAAGAAAGGTCCAACTCCTGCTTCCAATAACAGCAACAGCCACGGCAACACTGCATTGTCTGGAAGTTTCATACCGGCAGTGGTGAAACCGACTGAGATTGAGGTCAAATCTGCACGAAGAAGCCATGAAGTTGTCTCGAGCAATGTCAAGCTTCCTGCTTCCTGTGAGACGAATGTGTCTCCAACTAAAACAGATGAAGCATCAATGTCCTTGGATGAAACCATGTCCACCTGTGATTCCTTCAAGAGCCCTGATGTTGAGTACTTGGACAACAATGACTTGCATGAGATTGATTCTATCAACAAGAAGGCATTGAACAAGCTCTATATTACTGATAACGAAGTAGCAGCAGGTGAATTACTTTGACAAAACCTCAATTTGTCCAGTCATCTGACTTTTTCTGGTTTGCTCAAGAAGATCAACCACATTGATGCTATACATGTCTTCTAAATTGAGTTTTGAATTGGGGTGCTTGCAGAAAATGTGTGTAACAGAGATGGATTTGGTGCCATTGATATGGATACAGATGACAAGGTTCTAGACCTGGATACCAATTTTGAGGATCCTCAGCTTTGTGCCACTATTGCTTGTGATATTTACAAGCACTTGCGAGCTTCTGAGGTCTGTTCGAGTCCCTAATATGTATATGAATTGAACTGTAACTTGTGTGGACTTTGTAGTGCGTTTAACCTCTAACATTGTCATGGTACTTTATCATTTTTTTGGCTGCAGACTAAGAAAAGACCAGCAACAGATTTCATGGAAAAAACTCAGAAGGATATAAATGCCAGTATGCGTGCTATATTGATAGATTGGCTCGTGGAGGTTGCAGAAGAGTACAGACTTGTGCCAGATACCTTGTATCTGACCGTTAACTACATTGATCGATATCTCTCTGGCAATGTGATGAACAAGCAAAGATTGCAATTGCTTGGTGTTGCCTCCATGATGATTGCTGCGTGAGTAACAAGTTTCTGGGTTTCTTGTTGAGTGAAGTTCCTTTTCTCTTGTGAAGTAACATACTAACAGCACCAGACCATGTTTATATTGACAGAAAATATGAGGAAATATGTGCACCCCAGGTAGAGGAGTTCTGCTACATTACAGACAATACATACTTCAAGGATGAGGTATGATTAGGGTTTCAGACTCTAACTAATGCTATATACTTCGTTCGAGTTCCGAAGCTTGATTACCTAAACATGTGCATCATTATGTTGTGTGTAGGTTTTAGAAATGGAATCAGCAGTTTTGAATTACTTGAAGTTTGAAATGACAGCCCCAACAGCCAAATGTTTCTTAAGGTGATTACTGATTACTGGTAACTTGCATCCATACATCGCACTGCCTTCTGCAGTTCTGCTTTCGATGTTTCTCTGCTTCTGTGTGCTGACTTCTTGTTATTGTTGCATTGCCTTTGTTATGAAGACGATTTGTGAGAGCTGCTCAAGGAATCGATGAGGTACCATCAATGCAGTTGGAATGCTTAGCAAATTACATCAGTGAACTATCTCTGCTGGAGTACAACATGCTTTGCTACCCTCCATCAGTTGTTGCAGCTTCTGCCATTTTCTTGGCCAAGTTCATACTTTTCCCTTCAAAGAGACCATGGGTAAGTCATAGATGATGAAAGCTTGACCAGTTTATTACTCATTGAAAACTATTTGGGGCCAGTACTGATCTCTTACTATTCTTATTATGCGTGGACAGAATTCCACATTGCAACATTACACACTCTATCAGCCTAGTGATCTACAGGACTGCGTAAAGGATCTTCACCGCCTGTGTTGCAGCACTTACGACTCCACGTTACCTGCAATCAGAGAAAAGTACAGCCAGCATAAGGTGAGGATAATCCCGTTGACTTTGGCCACACATTCCAACAAACCCCATTTGGCCCCTTCATAGTATTCTAACTTTGTATTCTTGTATTGTTTTTGTTGGTGATTCCAGTACAAGTTTGTAGCCAAGAAATTCTGCCCTCCTCAAGTACCAGAGGAATACTTCCACAAGCAAAGCTCATAGGCAGATGGACGAACAGAGTATTGATCTGATCTCGATTACTAACTCATCTCATCAACCAAGCAGCAATGGCAGTATTCATCCAGACAAACCAGAAAATGGCTTGTGAGGGAGTAAAAAATCTTCAACAGCGATTCCACCATCAATCTTGAGCAGTCTTCTCTACTACTAGTGATGGCAGTATCCTTCCAATTCTCCGTTGGAAGAAGCTCTTCTTTCTGTCCATCTGCCCCCTGTATGTTTGATTGTAGTTTAGCAGTAACAAATGGTATTAGCAGTTGATGTAGCAGTTGTAGCCTCAGGCCCTCAGCTCTTTGTATGATATCTCCTCCATCTCCCATGCTATTTGACCATTTGTTTGTATCTTTTGTAGATCAGAATTTTTCCTTTGGACAAATAATCAAGTTTTTGTGAGTGCAGAAATTCCATTGGGAGATCAAATCCCATTGGGAGATCAAATCAGAAATTTTCCTTCGGACCATTTTTCTGTCGATTTCATTGGGAGAAAAATCAGTGAAACTAAATAATCATATAATAGTAAAACTCTTTAAAAATAGAGTTATACCTTATTCTTATTCTGGTCCGAACTATGACCATATAAACAACTTTGGCCCGTGGTTTGAGAAAGGCAAAATACACTCTCATAGTCACAAATTTGCACTTTGTGACAACAATAGCCAATTTTTGAAAAATACACATATATAGCCATTCCGTTAATAACTTTAACGGCACCATAAATAATACTGACTGGACTAACATTTTTTGCTGATGTGGCAACTTTTTATCTGGACTTTGCCATGTATGTAGGGGTGTTCAAACGGTTTGGTTAAAAAATTTAGCTTGTTTGGTTTAGGTGGTCTGGTTTGGTTTCAGGCACTCCTAACCAATCAAACCAAATTAATCAGTTAAGTAATTTGTCATATATCTAATATATATTATATACACATACTTAATACTTTGCATAACCACTCAAGAGTCAAATGTAAGATAATTGTATTTGTTACATGTATTTACGTTAAGGGTTAACTATAATTATGTGGATTGTTATGTGTTGTTCATTATATAAATTGCAAATTGATGCACTAACTGAAAATTTTTCTCACTTAATGATAATGTTGTGTTATATTGGTTATTTTGGTTAACCAATTAACCAAACCGAATAAACTTTAGTTTGGTTAATTTGGTTGTTGTATTAGTTTGGACGGTTTGGTTATGATATTGTATTCCATGGTTAATAGATTTTAGACTTATTTGGTTTGGTTATTACCATGGTAACATTAGGAATTGTTCTTTCTTTTTTATAATTAACTGAAAAATAAAAAATAAAAATACAGAAAAGAAAAGAAAAGAAAGAAGGAAGAGAGTGACTTCTTTTCGGGTAAAATACCTCTGCCGCCAACGAGCCGGAACCCAGCTCCTCCGGTGTCCACCGTCCACTGTCTTTCTCTTTTCATTTTCCTCGGATTACGCTGATAAACTTAATCGACGATCACTTATGTCTTCTTATTCTTTCCATCTCCACTTTCTCTCATCTACTACCTCTCTATCTCTTCCGCCACTTTTTCCGTAACCCTAACCTTGGTCCTTTTCTTCTTCATTCTCCAAAACTAAGGCTTCTGAAATCAAAGCCTCTCATCACTCATTTGCTTTCTCTCACTAAATCATCAGAAGACTCTCAGTCCCTTTGCCCTTCCATTCGATCTCTTCTCCAGCAGCACTCTATAAGTTCATGCTCATCGATCTGCATTCTGCTCTTTTGCTCTGGTTTTGTTCCCCATCAGCGAAGAAACAGAGGCTCCAGATCCTCGATTAGAGTTTTGGGTTTCTTCGATTGTAGTTCTGGATTTCTTCTTCAAGTTCAATCATTGGGGAAGAAGGTGAAAAATCAGGATTGGAGTTTTGGGTTTTTCTTCGATTTGGGTGGTAGGTTTCTGGGTTTGGATTCTTTTTCATCTATTGATTCTAGGTTTTGGAGTTTGCAATAGATTTGCAGAAGTATCCAAGGATCGAGGTGGAAATCCGACGCGAAGGTACATGGAAGGTGTTTGGGGAGATAAAATTGAAAAAAGAGCAGAGGATGGGCGGATGACGCAAGCGACGACAATGGTTTTGTGAGAGCTCAAAACGACAATGAACCCCAAATCCAAACCCTTCTTCTCTCTTTCAATCGACCTAAGAAGAACCCCAATCTCAGTTCTCAAGTATCGGCCTTGCCCCTATTTCTTCTCTTCTCCACCGGCCTTGTCCTTGTTTTGCAGGTAGGATATCTGTCTCTCCTACCCAACTCTCATATCCGCCGCAGGGGTGAAGGATGACATTGATGACGCTGATGGCGATTGAGAGATGAAGAGGATGAAGAAGTGTTGTTAGTGCTGGTATTTCAGCAGATGGCGGTGGTTGTTGTGTAGATCTAGTCGGAGAGTTGAGAGAGAAGATGGTTGAGAAATCCATAAAGGTGCAGCAACTGCGAAAGCATAGTGGAAAGATAAGCTGGGAAAATGATGGAGAAGATGAACACGATCTGTCCCGCTGGCGCTTCTTCTTGTCGGACTTCAAGCAACTGAGCGGCGACGGAGATGAATACCACGGAGAAGATGATACGATGGAAGGACAAAACAAATTTAGTGAAAATTGTTTTATTTTTTTTATTTTGAAAATTGAATGTGACATGGCGACAAGATGGCATGAAATGGTGTGTTGGGGCTGATGTGGAAGCTGAGTGGCATCCACATAAGCATTTCTTTAATGTTATTGACAATTTTTCTAACGGTGTTAATGTTCTTAACGGAAATGGCTAAATTAGTCAAACAAGTTTAAAAAATGTAGCTACATCTGTGTATTTTTCAAAATTTGGCTATTATTGTCATAAAGTGGATAATTATGGCTATGCAAGTGTATTAAGCCTTTGAGAAATTAACATCCTTGCCCGAACTTTGCAGCATATAGACTCAATTGGACGGTCAACACCGTTGACTAAACGTTCAAAGGTACATGTCATCATAGAAAATAGTAAATAATTAAAATTAAATAATTAATTACAAAAGTATTTACAGATATATAATTATTAAATAAAAATAGTTATCTTCTCCCTTTCTCCTCACTCATGCTCCTCCTTCGGCGGCGGAATCGTGGAACGGATTTCGACTTCAGGCTAAACATCGCCGTCGGGTAACCCATCTCCCAGATCCAATCGGCGCCATAACTCCTCTGCCACAACGAAGAGCAAGAACAACGAAATCAACATCAACGCCTCTGCTCGCTCTCACTCAATCTCTCTCTCATCTCTAGTAAATATCAGGGGAACATGGAACAACAGTAGTAAAATATCCAGAAATTGGGGCATGAACAGAAACACAAGGAGCAAATGGAGTAGCAGTAAAATACCCAGAGTGTGGTGCATGAACAGAAACATAACTCTTCCCCCAATTTCTTAATTATATATACTTTTCTTGATTAGATCTACTAGCCGGTCATCATCCATTACCGCATGAGGAAGGAAGATAAGTGGTCGGAGAGGACAAGACGACGACTTTCTAAAGAATCCGGTGCATCCTTCTTCGGTTTCCGTCTCCCTCAGCAATAACCCCGACATCCGTATGCGAAACAGAGGCCCGAGCATCTTCGATTTTCTTAGGCTGACGGATCTCGCGAGCTGTACGACAATCTCTTTCGGGGTCAAGAGGAACCAGTATCAGCAACAAGAGGCCCGCCGCCGGGCCCAAGAAGAGGAGATCGAGCGGTAGTGCAATCGAATGAGGAGGAGGATGGTGGAGGAAGAAGAAACTTGTCGTCGAGATGCGATAGCGCCGCGAAGTTTCTTCAATTCCTTCGGAGAAAAAGATGAACCGGAGGAGACAGATTGGAGATAAAATCTACTTTTTATCTTTTCATTTTATTTTATCAAATTGTTAACTTTTTATTAATTTTGTTCATGTGGCATCCATGTCAGCATGCTATGCTGATTCACTAACGGTCAATGATGTTGACCGTATAATTTGACAAAAATTCTCGAGTCGGGCCAATTGAGTCTATATGATGCATAGTTGATGCCAGAGTTGGAATTTCTGAAACCACTGGCCAAAATTGATTATATGAGTATAGTTTGGGCAAAAATAAGGTATTAACCCTTAAAAATATTATAAAGGTAATGCGATCATACTCATTTGGTCTTCAATTCATGATTAACTCTCAATACTGAACTGAAGCAAGTTAACAGAATGATATCCACTTCAGTAGTAAATATTTTTTCTTTGCTAATACACGCAAATTATAAATTAACTAGCTTAGAGTCCAACCTGTTGTTTGGGTGGCAATTTTTTTTTGTCATAATAGTTTGATAATTGTGTAATGAAAATATTTTTGAAATATATAAAATTTTGTGTAAGATGGTTGTACAAAATCAAATAATATAGATATCATTTAGTAACTCTTTTAGTATATGTAACCAATGAGTTCTGATACCTCTTGACTTCATTGACCTTTAGCGCGATGGAGGAAAAGGAGTAAGCACTCTTGTTTAATCAAGCTTGCTAAATACCAAAAAGGACGTACTATTTGTAGCCCTAAATTATTTTTATTTGTAGCCCTAAATTATAAAAAGTACAATAATACCCATAACATTTAAATACATTTACTTCACACATTCCAAGACCAAAACATTCAAACACTTTTCCAAACACAATCCAACAATACTCGCCGCCGGCGACCGCCTCCTCCCGCCGGCGACCGCGCCACCTCCCGCCGGCGACCGCCACCTCCGAAACCGACAGCTCCTTTCTCCGACGAGGTACGTCGGCAAATAACCCGACAACGACGGACGAACGTCCGGCCGGGACGTCGCCGGCGACGGACGAACGTCCTGCCGGGACGTCGCCGATTTATTATTTTATTTTTAATTTTTTGTTAATTTAAATTTGTGAAGTATATTAGATTTTATAAAATATATTAATTTAAATTTTCGGTTATTATTTTAGATTTTTTAATTATCATATTGTTTAGAAAAATTTGTTCTAATATTATTTTTAAAATGAAGTTATTGAATTTTAATTTTTCATATTTCGAAACTAAGTTAATGTTTCCTGAATTTAGACTTTTAATTGCCATATTTTAAGAATATGTAGTGTTTTTATTATTGTAATTTATTATTTTATGAATATTGTAATTACCATATTTTTAGTAGGATTTTTTATAATATTATTTGTAGAATGAAGTTCTTTAACTTCATTTTTTATTATTTTGAAACTAAGTTAATGTTTACTAACAATAATTTAGACTTTGAAGAATATTTAGCGATTTTATTGTAGTTTATTATTTTATGATATTGTAATTATCATATTTTTTAGGATGGATTTGCTATAATATTATTTTTAGAATGAATTTCTTGAATTTCATTTTTTTATATTTTGAAACTATGTTAGTATTACTGAAAATATTTTTCTTGCATGTATTTCTTGAAGTTGGTCAAGTTCGGACTTCCGGATATCACTACATCAGATAATGAGTAACACGGTTAGTGAGTTAAACTTTTTAATTTTGGAATCATGTTGAATTATTTATTGTTATGATGAAGTCTAGTAATTGATAATATGCTTAAATATTTGCTTTACAATGATACATATTGTTTGAAAAATGTTGAATTATTGATTTTACTATCTTGTTGATAATTTAATTAGTACGTGTCTACTTGTTGCATGTTGAAATATTAGGATTTGGTAGTTAATCATGTTAAATGTGCTAATTTTTTATTAAAAATGTATCGGATTAGTTAATGTTCAAATATTGAATAATTGTTAACAACATTGTGTTGTTGATAATTTAATGAGTACGTGTCTACTTGTTAAAAACTTTTTATTGCATATTGAAATATTAGGATTTGGTAGTTAATCATGCTAAATGTGCTAATTTTTTGTTGAAAATGTATTGGATTAGTTTATGTTCGAATATTGAATAATTGTTAATAACTTGTTTAATATTTTTTAATAAGAAGATAAATATAAAATCTAATATTGCAAACAAGTCATCAAATTTTCTAAAACTTATATAAGACTCAATCCATTTTCAAATTGTAAGAATTCAATTTACAACAAACATTACAAGTCATGAAAAGTGTTGAAACTTATGTAAGACTCAATCTATATCAAATTGGAATAATTTAATCTACAACAAACATTTCAAAATTAGTATCACTAATAAGATAAATGTGTTTATTTTAGGGAGATCCGGAAGATAAAGGAGACAAAGTTGATTATACTCAATTTTTCATAACAAATACAAGATATAAGTCATGGAATGAAGCTATGGAAGGTGCGAAAGTGATTGCAAAAGATCTTGGGTTCTTTTTGACACATTCATCAACCAAATCAAATGATGGCGAGAAGTACCCCCGAATATATCTTCACTGCCATCGTGGATATAAGAACAATACATATGTCCCAGATCCGGATAAGAAAGGACGATCCAACACAAAGTCACTTAAAGATGGTTGTCGTTTTCGAGTGAGACTGGTGGGACTCCCGGAGGAAAAGACTTGGATGATTGATGGTGTGAAGGACAATCACAATCCGGGACAATTTTGTGGGTTTCACAACCATGCATTAGAGCTTTATCCCGAAGGCCACACTCAGAGGAATGCTTTTACTAATGAAGAGCTAAAGGATATGAAGGAGATGGAATGGGCTCGTGTTGCTCCTCGAAAAATGATGCAAACTATCAACCAAAACTATGGTACTCACCATAACAAACGACAATTTTACAACATGACAGCAAATATAAGGATTGAGAGATTGAGTGGCATGACCCCTTCGGATTGGACGTTACACCATGCGAGAGAGATGGGGTACTACATTGGCTACAAGCGTGATGATGATCGCCACCTTACTCACCTTTTTCTTGCTCACCCCTGAGTCCGTTCGGATGTTGAGTGCTTGGTACCATGTAATCTTGATTGATTCCACATACAAGACGAACAAATATAAGAGGCCCCTGGTTGAGGTTATTGGTGTTACCCCCGTCAAGAGGAACTTCAACATTGGATTTGCTATGATGGAGGGGGAAACCACAGATTCTTATGTTTGGCTTTTGAGAGAGTTACAGAACATGCTTGGAGATCGCATACCGAATGCAATTCTAACTGACAAGGAGGGAGGATTGGTTGCCGCTATCCCTCAGGTCTTCACGAAATCGGCCCACTTGTTGTGTATATGGCACATAAAGCGGAACATTGAAGCTAAGATGATGGATTTGGGGATACCACAAGAAGTTGCTCGAGGAGTGGTACATGGTTCTTGGAAGAAGGTGATGGAAGCCACCACGCCACATGCCATGATTGAGGAATGGGAAAATTTCAAAAATGGATTTTGGGGGAGGAATAGTAAGTTGATAGAATACTTGGATCGTGAGTGCTTGGAGCATAAAGAGAAGTGGGCTTGTGCTTACACTAACAATATTTTTCATATTGGTAACACAAGTACGAATAGGGTTGAATCGGCTCACTCGACTCTTAAAGCTTGGTTAAACACTTCGACTGGGGGAGTTGATACATTATTTTTATCATGGCATGCTAGCATTGGGGGGCAAGTGATCGAAATTAGGAAAGAGCTAGAGACATGTCGAACAAAGACATTCAAAGGAGCCTATGGACCACCCTACGGCGTTATAAGGGGAAGTGTAAGCCTATATGCGCTTGAGTTGATGTTTGTAGAGGGAAAGAAGACTCCTTCGGAATGTGATTGTGTGATTGGGAGGACACATGGGCTCCCATGCAGTTGTCGAATCAACTCCTTTAAAGGAGCGGGAGACCATTTTCAGATAACACACTTGGCACCATTCTGGTCTACTTTGGACTATGCTAACCCTCATGATGCAAGACGGTTCGAAGACAATGACGCCAATGATCTTCAGATTTTTCATGATCTAGTGGCTGAGGTGTGTAGACGTGGTCCATCTGCAGTTCGAGCAGCCAAGGTCGCATTAATGAGTCAGCTTTACCCCGAAGAGGAAGGCCTTAGGGAGCCACGAGTGTCTACGAAGGCAAAAGGTCGGCCACCTAAAAGGGAAAACGCTCGTGATCCTTCTTGGCATGAGCATGCTGCCGCACGTCAAGGTAGAAGGAGCACAAGGAGGAAGACATCAACTTCAGATGTTACAGGTTTGTATTGAATAATTTGAGTTGTTTTGTTAAATTCATTGATATTCAATAAGTATGTTTAATATGCCAATAAGCTAATTACAACAATTTTTCACTAACAGGTGCCCCGAAGGATGCTACCATCCACAAAAAGAGAAAAGCAACAACCTCAGATGATACATGTTTGTATTGAATAATTTGAGTTGTTTTGTTAAATTCATTGATATTCAATAAATATGTTTAATATGCCAATAAGCTAATTACAACAAAATTTTCACTAACAGGTGCCCCGAAGGATGCTACCATCCATAAAAAGAGAAAAGCAACAACCTCAGATGTTACAGGTTTGTATTGAATAATTTGAGTTGTTTTGTTAAATTCATTGATATTCAATAAGTATGTTTAATATGCCAATAAGATAACTAAAAAAACTACATCCACAGGTGGCCCGAAAAGGGATCCCATGACCAAGATTGATGGAGTGAATGTTTTTCCTTACTTTCGCTTCGTCCCAGAAAGTGTCAGAGATCGATGTCTTGGTTGGTGGGACCCTGCTCCTGATGGACATTGCGGATTTCGAGCTCTTTCACATGCACTTCATGGAGATGAGGATCACCACTTGTGGGTGAGAAAGGCTATTATAGATGAAGTCATGTCGATCCAACAATGTGAGTACGCATATGAAGATGTGGGTCTTGCTCTTACACGATTACAGTGGAACAAGCCAGAGGGTACTACAATGGATCATTGGATGACTGAGTCGGATCTCGCCGTAGTTGCAACATTATTTAACTGGGCCATAATCCTCTACAGTCAAATAGACGAAACCAAAGATGGGGTGAGGAGACGTGTTCCATTTGGACAAACCTTTTTACCTATGATAGCCAAGCCAGGGGTAGCTCGCCCTAGCAATGTGTTGGTGTTGTGTAACACCGGCAACCATTGGGTGCGCCTTGACTTTGAGGAGGATTCAATACCAATGCCTCCATTCACCTTCCTGTGGACCCATTTCCGTGACAAAACGAGTACTCAAGGGTGGGAGGAGTTGTTCAAGGACGAGCGAGATCTTTACTTCGCACTTGGGGGTCATCATGACTAGTAGGAGATATTTGTAGTAGTATTGGTATATAACGACAATAGTTGTAAATAAGGAGTATTTTGTAACTTATGTTATCTTTATATTTGTAGTCTTTGGTAAACATAGTTTTAAATTAAAACAACCATAGTTCTAAACATACAAATAAAGTATCAAATGAACGACACTAGTACTCAAACAACAAATAAGCAACATAGTTCTCAAACTACAGATAAACGACATAGTCCTCCAACAACAAATAAACGATTTAGTTCTCAAACTAGAAATAAACGACATAGTTCTCAAACACCAAATTAACGACATAGTTCTCCAAATAGAAATAAACTACATAGTACTCAAACTACATGAACAACACTAGTACTGAGGTGGAGGCTGGTATGGAGTCGCCTCGTCGTACTCTTTAAGCAACCCTTGTAATCCAAGAAGAAGATCAAGGTGGTCATCATAAGGGTGCTCAATCACAGTGCGAAACTCTCGGACGAGCTTCACAGCTAACTGTATAAAAATGTAAATGTTAGTATGTTATTCGATAACTAATGCAATATTTAAACTTGTACAGAATAACAATATCAATAACATAATTAAACTTACCTGATCATGACTAAGATGGTGGTGTATCTCCTGGTCAGCAGCACTGGGGCAGACGATCCTCGGGTGGGTACGTCCCATATACCACTGTAGATACCCATCCTCGGTATCTTCCGGTTTTTGAACAGGTCTCGATATCGAATCCAACTGCACCGAGTGGCAGTGAGGGGCCTTCCAAAGCTCACTCAAGCCGGGACCGTAGGACAAGGAGTACATCTTGACATTCGCAGATCGGCAAACATCAACTAGAGGAAGCGGATCTGAGGGGATGGTCTGTACGTACCCAAACTGACGGAGGCAACGCGAGGGATCGTACATCTCCTCAACACTCATGCACCGAATGACACCAGAGTACAAAAAACGAGAGACCATCTCACCAGGTCTGGGGCCGAATGGGCACCAAAAAACGAACTCATCTGTCATATTATCCAGTACTCGACGATAGTGATCCAACCTCTCATTCATCAACTGTGCCCCACCTCCAATTCTCACCCCCTCCCACTTCTTAGCAAAAGGTTCCCCGCACACCAATCCACGTGTCCCCAACTTCTGATCTCGTAAACACGGGAAGTACTCGTAGATCCAGCTCTGAAGGAGGGTCAAACAGCCACCCATGCCTTTGCAATCCGCTCGAGACGCCATGCCGAGTTGCCTATACAAATAGGCGAGTGTAGCAGACCCCCAAGAATATTTCCTCACCCGTCTAGTGTCCCCCAAGAACTGGAGAGGCCAAACCTGCGCTCGATCCCCACTCCTGTCCACAAACAAGGTGGTCCCCAACAAACAGGTCAAGAACATCCGTACCTCAGAATCTCTTTCCCGAAACCTCCCAACCTGCTGCATAGCTTCAACACACACTAAACCCCCACTCTTAAGCGAAGGCTTGGATCGTTCATTCAATTGTTCGACCCTCAGCATCTCACACAACTGTGCTTTCACACTCTCATTCCCTACAACCATATCTTCACCGACTGGAATCCCAAGCAACACTGCAACGTCGTGGAGCGTGATGGTCATCTCTCCAAAAGGCATGTGAAAGGTGTTGGTGTCAGGCTGCCACCTCTCCACAAATGCCACAAGTAAAGGTCCGTCCAAGTGCTGGATCGAGCAGTCCAACAACTTGCGCAACCCTGTCCTCTCAACCAATGTTGCAGCACCCTCACTCTGAAATTTGTAATCTTTCAAATAATTGACTGCCAATGCTCTAGTCGACAACTTGAATGAATCCATTCGGCGAGCCCCTAAACCATCATCCCATAATCGATAAGCCACATGACCTCCAAAACTAGGAATCAGGCTATGATCGATAGGCCCCCCCGGCCCACTCCTGTCGAGAATCCACGAATCAGCTTCTCTCGCCTTCTTCCTCTTACTAATGCTGCCCTCCTCCGAATCGGGTCGTGATGACTCAAAACGACCACGAGCCCCACGTCTAACATGAACAAACTGAGAGCACGAAGAAGACACAAAAGGAGCCTCGGGCTCTAATCTAGGTCCACTAGAACCACCTGCACTCGGATGGTTGCTCTCGAAGAAAGCATCATTTACATCCGGGAAGTCATCATAATTGTCATCACTGCCATCATACTCATCCACTCCCTCAAAAGCTGTATCTAAGTCAAAAGGCACGGGAGGCGGGGGAGAAGGATTCTCCACAAGTCTAGCACGTCGACGCTCATTCTCGGCTTCCTCACGACGCGACCTCAATACTATACGGTTGGTCACCCTCGACGGCTCTACCTCCTTCAACTTCTTCTTTCCTCTTGTATCCACCATTTTCTACCTATTAAAATTTGAATTAAAATTATTGTCAGATTATTATCATCATGTAATAGTTATTAGCAATGTTCATATTAGCAATGTTCATATGATAATTGTTAGTTCTCATATAATAAATTTTTATATTCAAATGTTCAAGGTTCATATATTTGTCTATTTTAATTTAACATTCGTATATAATTTCAATTACAATAAAATTCCCATCACAATATAATATTCGAAATTATAATGAATTTCACAATAAATTCTAACTTAATTTTCTTGCTTAAATTGTCTATTATAATTTAACATTCGTATATAATTTCAATTACAAT